AAAGAGGGAACAACGAGGCAGCAGCAGCGCACGCGTGTTCAGTCGTACTGCTGGCCCTCATGTCCCGGTGTGTGTGTGTGTGTCCCGGTGCGCGGCGCAGAGACGACGGGCGGGGCGAAGGACGCACCACACACACAGAGAGAGAGAATGATGAACAGCGAATCTCCCAGCAGGAGAGACAGTTAGTGGGCGGCGCACAGCAGCGCGCAAAGCAAAGCCCAAGCAAGAAAAGAAAACAAAAGAAAACACGCCTACCCTTCCCAAAGTGCAGTGCACAGTGCGTGTCGTCGAGGGCAAGTGGGTCGGCGTTACGCCCACAACGGGGCAGCAAGAAACGAAAACAAAAGAATCTTAACAATCAGGCGTGCAGTCCTCGGGGCTCAACAGAATTACGGTCGGAGCACCACCGCCCCATGCACACACAGACACACACGCAGGTCTCACCACACGGCCACACAGGCAAGCAGCAGCAGCAGCATCAGTGGGGCACGCACCCACGCGGGGATGTCGCTGCCGTCTTTCACCCCAATGTTAGATCCGCCTGCAGTCCCACTGATTTTGTCCTCCGTCTTGGCAGGTTGGTCCGTCGGCAGGGGTACAGTGCCTTCTGTCTCGCTGGATTTGTGGTCAGTGGGCGGTTCCTCCTCTTCGGGTAGCCGTGACTCTGGCTTCTCCACTGTGGTGAATTTCTTCAACTCTTCTTCGGCCTCGACCAGCGCAGCGTCCGCCTTGTCCTTGTTTTGCTTAGCCGCACCCCTGGCATTGTTAGCCGAGCTACATGCCTCGTCGACAAGCTTCTTCACCACCTCTGCTACCTTCAGTGCACTATCAATACTCTGCGCGGTACTGATGGCACTCTCTTTTGCCGACTCAGCGTTAGTCTTTGCAACCGTGGCAGCTGTATTGGCCTTTGTACCAGGGACCTTTGCCGCTTCGGTTACAGTTACTTGTTCCTCTTGTGGCTTATTTTTCTCTAACTTCCCGTCTGCATCCGTGGCATTACCTTTGGCGTCCTTGGCACTTGCTGCTGCGAGCGAAGCACTAATCACTGACGCATTGCTATTCGTCAGTGCTACCCCAATCCGCTCTGCCATAATTCGGGCACTGAAAAAAAGATTCGCAGCATCTTTTTCTTGCTTATTGTTGTTCACTTTTTCTACCGCGAGTTTCAGCGCCGCTTCAGCAGTTTTTTTATTTGTCTCCGTCTCACTCTTAAAGACATCATCGACATTCTTCACTGCGTTCTTCCACCCTTCGGCTACGCTCCGTTTCCCCACCTTCTCTGCCCAATCCTGTACATTCTTTGCATGCTCCGTAGCCTCCTCGAGTAACTTCATCGCCTCTGAGGCCTTTACCGCAGCATCATTGGCCTTCCCCATCGAAGTTTCCGCACCCTTCACAGCAGCCGTGAGATCACTCGCTTTCAATGCCACTGGATCCGTTACCGCAGTCCCTGCTTCTCCAACAATCTTCTTCAGCACCTCCAATCCGGTGATAATACTTGTCACTGCGTCAGTTGCCATGCTCTTAGCCTCTGCGGCAGGCACCTTTGCTTTCTCCGCCTTCGCCGTAAAGTCATTGAGCTCCCTCTTTGCTTCGTCAGCTTTGGCATAAGTCTCTTGAGCACCTCGCAGCACAGCCTGGGCATTTGACACAGCGTCTCTGCAGGCAGCCACATTTGCCCTCGCTGCCGCCTCAGTAGAAACGGCCGTCTGTCCAGCGTTCTCAGCAGCAACAGCCGTCACGCACAAGGCCGTGCAGCACAGAGCAGCGGCCAACACCCACACAACGCGGCGCACCGTCGCCATCATTCAATATCGCCTCAACAGCTGGAGTCTGCAGGGAGGATAGAAGAGAGACGCTGCACAGCAGACAGCCCCAACACACACACACACACACGGAGCGGAAGGGAGCAGCAGGCACAACACAGGCGGCATCAACCATGATAAAAAGAAACCCATTAGAGAAAAGAGAGCTGGACGGCGGAAGAGACGCACACACTCCGCTGGAGTCCAAGCAAACAAGGCTCAAAACAAAGAGGGAACACCGAGGCAGCAGCAGCGCACGTGTGTGCAGTCGCACTGCTGGCCCTCATGTCCCGGTGTGTGTATGTGTGTGTGTGTGTCCCGGTGCGCGGCGCAGACACGGCGGGCGGAGCGAAGGACGCACCACACACACACACACACACACACACAGAGAGAGAATGATGAAAAGAGAATCTCCCAGCAGGAGAGACAGTTAGTGGGCGGTGCGCAGCAGCGCGCAAAGCAAAGCCCAAGCAAGAAAAGAAAAGAACAAACACGCCTACCCTTCCCAAAGTGCAGTGCACAGTGCGTGTCGTCGAGGGAAAGTGGGTCGGCGTTACGCCCACAATGGGATAGCAAGGAAACGAAGACAAGACAGCGTGACAGCAGTGTTATCCATTCTGTGTGGTAGCCCACAACCCTCAGACCAACTGCACAGTAAACAGCCATCAGCACACGGCCACCCAAGCCGCTTCCTTCACAGACACGGAGACCATCACCGCGAGCAGCAGCAGCACAGACACGCAAGCTGAGGCGCCGTCGCTGTCTGCAGTGCGGTTGGTGCGTGCCACGCTGCTGTTCCCGCTCTATGCAGGTGGAGGAGTAGTAGTGGCCGCACTGGACCTGCCTTCCACCGTAAAAGTCTGCTTTCCGCTGGTGCCTCCTTCGGTTAGCAGCCGTCCCTTCCACCGTGGTTGCCGCTCCTGATGGCGCACTCGTGGCATGAGTGTCTGAAGCGATATCCGATGGACTGTGCGTCGATCCTGTTAGTGTTGAATACGTAAATGCTGCGGAGCTCTAAGAGAAGATATCGGTGCCTTCCTTTTTTTCCTGCGACTGGCACTCCTAGCACTCGTTGCAACTGTCAATAACTTGACTTGTTGGTAGGAAAAACTCCCAGCCACAGTAGATCTCTGCTCTGAAGAACGATTTGAAACTTGTGTTGGTGTCGTAGGCACGAAGGCTGAAGGGGTGCCCTTGATACCCACATCTTTCGAAGACTCCATCCCCATCGTCATCGGAGAGGTGATAGTTCCACTTCTACTACCGGTGGACGTAGCGCTGTGGGTTTCGAAGCTCTCAGCGTTTGTCTTCGGTAGGCCCTCGCAGCAGCTGTGGCTCCAGGGTCACTATCTCTACCCGTTTCATCTTCATTACTGTCATCCCCTCGGGGGTACACATTGGTACTTTCGCTTTCTCCTGCAGCGACTTCATTCGACAGAAGAGAGTCGCTGCTTGGATTCCTGACATCAACGCCAGATGCCTTGAAGCCTCCCTCATGCTCCGTGGCACTTGTATCAACACCACCGCCAGAAATAGCAGCGGCAGCAAAGCGACGGCCTGGCAGCGCACCGCCCTCACAACATCCTCACCGGAGGCCCCTGCGGCGCAGCCGTCACGCACAAGGACGTGCAGCACAGCCCAGCTGCCAACACCCACACAACGCGGCGCATCACCACTTCCTTCGCGATAGACACTCCCACATGCCCGCAGAGAGAAGGAAGAGACACACATCAGATGGCACACACACACAGACAGCAACAGGAGAAAGGTAACAGACGAAGTCAACACACATCGTGGCGCATTCCACAGTGAGAGCAGAAGTAAAACAAAAGGAAGACTTCGTGGCATAGCCCAACGAACCACGTGGAAACAAAGCCCAAACAACCCAAAGGAAAGAAAAGATAAAAACGTGGCAGCCGAAGCGCCCATTTGCATAGATGGTTGTGTGT